TTTTTTATGCTTATGAGGGACATCCTTTTGTTCTGTCTGCTGTATCCAGTCCATGCATCATGCATAACACAACCTGAAGACACTATTCTGGTGTGTTCTGATTAGGATCTTTACAGTGGTTCATCATATTTTATGACGATAACATATTTAGTATGATAGACAGAACGGAATTGGGAAAATTACATATGTAACAAAATTTATCAATCGCCGTGGTCATCAATTTCAATTCACATTCTAAACATGCCCATAAAATTAAACTTTTAGCAGATTTTAATAAAATTGATAAAATGTGTGTTTGAAAAATTTTGGATCCTATGAAATACGTAGTTAAAATTAATTGTTGACTTCGACTTTAATAAAAATCTAGATTTAAAGTTTCCATAGACAACGTATATGAAAGTTGAAATTTGAAATAGATAACACATAACTACTTTTTTTGCCTATAAAAAGTGATCTAATTTATAACCAAATCAAGACATTTGAGGATCTTTGTGGTGGGGTTCTAGTTAGTATGGCATTTATTTTCAGCTGGTTACTTTATCTGGGTTCCATCAACTTGCAGCCATAACTTTTTGAATCTTGATGTAGTGTTAACATGTTCCATGTATCTAGGTCTGCACTTTTAAACTCATAAATTATTGCTAATTGAGTATACAAATATATCTACTTTCATAATTATGTTAATTGTTGGGGAAAAAAAACTGTACTTGAATGCATTTGGAGCGAGAAAGGATGATTTTGAGCTTAATTGAAGTAAATTAATGGAAATTGAATGCTAACCAAATTGTACATGATTGCTAAGAAGTATGAAGAGAGTAATCAGAGAAATTAAACTCAAGAGTTTGGGGAGTAAAATTCAACATTTGAAAAGTTTAAGGACTTATATCCACAATTTTAGAAAGTTGTAGAGGACCAATTTTGAGTTATTGTGGATGGTGAGGACTAAAGTGTAAATATTTGAAAGATAAACCTAGCTACAACAACTAGAGACAAACAGAAACCAACATGTTTTGACGTTGAACTATCTGATCACAACTCTTTGAACCATGTGATCGTAAGGTTACACAAGGCAACCCTAAGTTTCTTTCCAAATACAATTAGACTTCGATATGGAATGAGGATGGGACATGAATTTTACCCTAATCTTGGGACTATAAATAGAGACTTTCATCTGTAAAAAAGCTTTCATAAATACAAAAACATACACAAATTCAATATTTTTGCTAGAATATTGGGAGAAGAATAGGACAAGGTTTTTACATTTGATATTAGGTTAATGCGAATGAGAGGAAGAGGGAGGGTTTTACATTTGATATCGGGTTGGGCCGTCTTAAATGGGTTTAAACCCAACCGGCCTGACCCAAAAAAATTTATAATGGTTTGGAACCCAAATCGAACCGTTTTTATTCCAAACCGACCTAACTTGAGGTCGGGTTGGGTTGGGTTTGAGGTTTTTGGTTTATGGGCCTAGCCCTAGCTGTTGTACCAAGCTTGGATAATCAATGTTTAAAAAAAGGTGTTATTGGATTCTTAACCATTTTTCTTTCATGAGAGGAGGCGTAAGCCTCACCATAAACCAAAGCACTACTAAAATGCAAAATGAACTCATAATAAATCATAAACAATCTTCAAAATTCATAACGAAGGATGTACTTGTACCCAAGTCTGGTACTCCCTATATAAGCCTATGCCTCATGATTTTTACCCTAATAAGAGGCGGACGGGTCATAAGCTCAAACTATTTTTCGATCTCTATCAAAATTCCACGAAATCAACGAGATTATTGGTCGATATTGTGTTATATCTCTTTATCCGAGGACACAGCACCACACTTGTTTAATTTGCAGCAAGCTGGAATGCAACTAGGCTATTGACAGAGTACAACACTTCCAAAACAAATATGATACACCTTTACAAATTTTAACATGGACGGCCATCAATATCTTTAGCGTCATATCATTTCATTTTGACATATCTACTAATGCGTGTTCCATTCAACAATAGGATTTACTCGTTAGGCATCTCTGAAGTTGAATGGTCTCAGAGGATTGTAGTACATTAAACGTGTCACTAATTTTTGGAAAGAAAAAGAAAATGAATACAAGCTCTTCTTTGAGCTGCATTATGAAGGAAAAAAATGTATTTTAGAATAGTATTTTTTAGAAAACATGTGGTTAAAAAATAAGAAAAGTTCTCAATTTATGTGTAACATTATTTTATTGAAGAATGTATGGTTGAAAATAAATTTTTAAAAAAATGGGGCTCAAAGAAGGGCTAAGTCCATTAGAACGTTTGGACAGTTATATTATAGTGTTACTATGGCCCCGTTTGATAGTATTTTTTTAAAATATATTTTTCTCTCTCTTCTTTTTTCAATCACACATTTTTTATTAAAATAATATTACATGTAAATAAAAAAATTTCCTTATTTCTCAACCACACATTTCACATCAATTTACTATTCTAAAATGTATTTTTATATAAAAATATCTATCAAACACCCCCTATATGTGCTTAGTCAGAGGCGGAGCTAATGGGGGCATTGTTGGGCTGTAGCCTAGCAATGTTCCCCAACCCATATACATTTTTAAGATAAAATTGTAGAATTGTGGCCCATATATTAGCATTAGCCTATCTCCAATTTAAATCTCAATCCAATTCCAATGTTCAATTATTTAAATTGTATTCAAAACATTGCAATATTAATTACTTTTTTCAAGACATTCATGAAATGTGAATATTTTATTGTTAAATTGGATATTCTATTTAATGCATGTTTGACTAAAATTTAATTATTAAGAAAATTTTATTATAGATAATTTGTATTGATTAGATCTAAAAGTAAATTATTTATTTTAATAGTTAGAGATATTACATATTTTTCTAAATTACGTATTCATTACTATTTCATATTTATGAAAAAAAATACTTGTTTTGACCATAAAGTAGATATTATGATCAAAATAAATAACTTACTATAGATTTGATATTGATAATAAAAAGAATATTTGTTAAAACTTATTTATTTATAAAGTAATTATATCGACTTCAAAAAGAACATTTGTTAAAACTTTCACTTATTTGGAATGACTAGTTGTCAAAGTTACTAGAAAAGTACTCACTAAGTAATTTTTTAAGTACTCATTGGTGGATATATATTTTTGCTTAATTCTAACATGATTCGGTTTGTTTATATTTTTTAAGATAAGTATCGATTTTCTATTTGGTTAAAAAAAAAAAAAAAAAAGTTATTGGAATATTTTAATGTGAGACGTCTAAACTTTTTTCATTTCATTGAGTGTCGTATACTTTTTATCGTAAATGTCACAAAAATAGTTTTCGAAACTCAATTTCTTGTGGCGTAAGCTCATTCAATTTTTTAAATTTTTTTTAATTTCAGACCATCCAATATAATTTTTTGGCTCCACCCCTGTGCATAGTATTGTACTCACAAAAACTAAAAACTTACCATCAATTTTTATCTTAAGTCTCACTTCAATCTAAATTAATGTTGTAAAAACTTATCAAATGAAATGTTTGCTTTATAACTAATTTATAATAAATAATCTAATTTAACCTAACTAATCTAATTTGTGGAGAACTTTAAGGAGTGGTTAGGAACTCTAATTTCATTTATTAACATTCATCCAATCCAACATCATTCAACCTCTTTTTCATACGTGTTAATAGTGGAATTAGCCAATTTTAGCTATTAGTCTTTCTCGAGCAAAACTAGACATATTCACATACTAGAATTTACTATATCTCTATATAAATTCATACATATGTAAAAGCAGTAATTTGTAGGAGTTAAATCAAGATTGCAAAGGCTATAATTATCTCTCACTCTCTTATAAAAACATGTCACTTATTGCACGAATTATACAAATATATCTCATTTAGTTCTCAATATCATCCTTAAACCAGTCAATTGGTGATCAAGCAAGTGAATGTTAATTCAACACAATATGCAATTACACATCAAAGTTACATGAAATCTTTTGAATTAAATAAATATTAAATCTAAGCTACATCGTTCATCGTAACAACTAATTATTTATCCATTCATAATTGTGGAATAAAAAACATTAAAGGATTAAAAAATCACCGAATTAAATACGATGACTAAAGAATAGAATCCTAACAATTGTTCTTCTTTGACATCCAATTTCCAATAATGGATCATTAATCTTCTCTTCAAAACAGATATATCTCTCAGCTAACTGTGTTCTTCAATCCTCAAACCCCAAATTGGGATGCAAATCTTGAGGGTTCAATGTATTTGAATGTATAATAATTTTGCCTAAAAATTGTATATCTAGGCTCCTTTAATTATGAATGAAAGATTCATATTTTAGACTTCAATTAAAGTCTAAAATAGACTCCCAAGTTGATCGAGAATCATAATTTAAGTCAATTTAGGATATTCCAAATTGCTGAAAATTATATTTCACCTGTTTAAACTGGTCCACGTTTCCTCGCTTTGCTCAGATTGAATCCTTATATAGTGCAATTAAAGTCTTTCAACTTTCAAACTTGATTTCTTGGTCCCCCCAACTTCTAAAATATGTCCAACTTTACTCATTTTGAAAAATTATCATTTCTTTTCATCCATTCTCGTCCAATATCGTTTTTCTCCTAAAATAATCAATAAACAAGTATGATCAAGCATGAAACATTTAATAATCACTTCCGAAGACTACTTTTAGTGACCAAGATAAGTGTAGTTCACAGACTACTGCAGGTGGAGCATCTTCATCTCGATATTTGAAGGTAAATATATAATTATATTTGAAAACATACTTCAATATATAGGATTTGAACTCTGATTTTCTCAACATTGCATAGTAGCAATGAAAAAGGTATACTTATAGATCACTTCTGCCCATCAATTTATTATATAATCTGATGATAACAAAGATGTCTTTTTTGCAAAAACCAACTGAATTCAAGCTCCTATACAATCTTAATTTACAAGCCACGTTCCAATTTCATACCGTCTAGTCAACAGCAATCCATGCAAGATCAATGTTCGATATCCAGTGACATGCCTCGCCTTCTCCAGGGGAGAATTTCAGAATCTTAAAAGCCACATGATTTGCAGGCCAAGCTGAGGTATCCATATGACATATCGCAATCACAGTGCTAACTGGGAGTCGAGTCTCGGGTTCAATCAAGTCTACAGCATAGATTTGAGTTGAAGAGGTTGAATGGCAGAAATAGGCAGCAAAGGGAAGATAAACTTCATGGCAGGCCACTACTTTCTGCCTATCAAATTTCTTGATCTTTCTTATCAGGAATTCACTTCTTCTTGTGCGTTCTGAAGCCAGCACGAGTAACTTGTTTTTGCCTAAGGCAAACTTTGCGAAACTAATCATTTCTTCAAGGGATTTTGGGCAATTCTTGATTTCTCCCTTTAGAGCTTGTGCATTGCAATAAGAAAGTGTCATTTCCATAGAATTTTTTGACAGTTCAAAGGACTTGGGAAATAGTTTTGTAATGCTTTTTCTGCTGATAGAAATTTTTGATGCTATTTCTTGAGGGAGAAATGCTCGATTTGGAATTTTTTCTTCTAAATCTGAGAGATGGAATTTATTTCCTTCTGTAAGGGTTGAGATCCTGAAGTAAGAAAATTTGTCTGCCGCATTGGAGTTGATAGGTGATGCACCATTATTACTGTACGTATTGGTTGGTTTTCGCCGAGCATCCTTTAATCCGGGTGAACAAGAGAGTTTAGCAAGTGAGCAAAAACTAGGATTTTCTGAGAAATCTTTTTTGGTTATCAGATTTTTGTAATAATCACGATCCGTTTTTGTTAACGGGGATAGTTTTTTAAAGACAGAATCTGGCATTTGGTTGTGAACATTTTCATACCAGAACTTGATCTGGTCAGACGCAATCGATGATGGTGAGTATTGAGTTGACGCAAAGGAAGTGAAACTAAGCGAAAAGGCCAAGTGAAAGAAGAGGAGAGAGGGGAGAGAATGTGAAGTAGCCATTCTTTTTTCTAGAGAGAGAAATTTTGCATATGTTAGAATATTAGAAGCCCTCATTTGGTCTCCATTATTTCAATTTATAATGGGAGAATAGTGTTTTTTTGAAAAATGAATGATTGTAAAAGATTGAAAAGTTTCGATTTGTGTGTAATATTAATTTATTGAAAATTGTGTGGTTGAAAATAGAAAAAAAATTTAATTAAATTGAAGAGTTTTAAAGGGAGCCAAACGGGTGCTAAATTGTTATAAACTTATATTTCTATTACAAAGTAGAAGATAGGGTTACAAATAACTCTCAATGGAAACTTGCGTAATTATCACATAATCAACTATTAAGGAAAATAATTTCACATATTTAAAAAAATACATAGAGATTATTTTTTACAATCTTTTGATAACTTAGGGGCAGAAATTACATATATCTTACAAAGAAGAAGCCAAATTTAATTTACACGTTTTAACTTTGATTAGTACAAATAAGTGTTGTCCAAATCTTGCATTGATTTTTAAATGGATGAATGTAGGAAAATTCGAATTCCAAGTGTTCGTTATTACTTAAGCATCACAAAAGCTTCCCAATTAATTTGTTAGATTAGCTAGAGTAGTTGGGGATGGCAACAGGGGCGGGTTTGGGACGCCGCCCCATCTCGCCCAAACCCCGCCCCGTCTAAGAGGGGCGGAGACGGGAAAACTTTTTGCCTGGTTGAATTTTTTTTATTTCTTTTTAATTTCGAGTTATGTTATTATTAGAGAATAAAATACAAATTCAAAATAGGTTTTTTACGGGTGAATTGTCTAGAAATAAATTATTTTTAAATTTTTATTTTTATTTTTTTCCTTCACAGGGTGGATTCGGGGTGGGACATCCCCACCCCGCCAACCCATTCGGGGCGAATTTTTTTGCCATCGCTAAAAGTAGTTATATGTTTTATTTGTTAACAAAAAACTATTTGAAAGTCTTTCTATTCGATAAAAGTTAGATTTAGTTGGAACTAGATTAAGTACTTAATCCTTATAGAAACAATAATATGAACTTTTATATCCACTTTATTGCTTCTTTATAGCATCGTCCACTTCTGAAATTCTAATACAACAGTGAACCATGATAGTTTGTCAAAAAAATCATAATAATGAACTATAAATAGCATATTGGACTTGTAAGAAATGTTCTTTATTTTTAATAAAATAATGTTATATGCAGTCCCTCCCTACCTCAAAATGCTTTTTAATATAATGAGAATTGTTGAAGGTGCTCTTACCTTAGAAGTAAAATTTAACATAAATGACTTTATGCATCTAGATCCAATTGAATATTACCTTGGCAAGTGAAATTTAAGGTAATTGACTTTTTGCATGTAGGTATTCCTTGTGCCCATGGAAGAATTTTCTTGTAATTATACCACGTCGTTAAATATTTGGTGTTAAAATATTCACAAATGGTTTACAAAAACACTCAATTTCAAGATCTTTCAACTCCTTGATATCATACTAAGCCCTTGTTTTGTTTAAAACTAAAAATTAGATTTTTAGTAGACTTAGTCATTTAGATAAAAGTTAATGAAAAACATGGTTAAAAAGTTGATAAAAGTTATGAGCCCCACGAAACGTGTGATTGAAAATGAGTTTGAAGAAAAATAAGTTTTAAAAAATGAAGGTTAATCTAAATGAAATCTCATCATCCAAAACTTCGATCTAATTATCTTATGGACGAAATGCAATATAAATAAAGAGAATTCTGGAACTCAAATTCTTCAAATTTGGAACATACAACCCAAACTGTAGCCAGAAAGAAAAAGGAAAATGGTAGCATCACATCATGCCAAATTCATTGGAATAATAGTATGCTTAGGACATAATTCAAGAAACGTCGTAATTATGAATTTTTAGTCATGCTGATGGTAAAATATTGGACCGGCCATGAGCGGACATAAAGTGAATGCCAACTTGAACAAATAATTTAGAGAGTACAGTAAAAAGATAGCAAAGTGGCTTCATAATTGATTTGTGTGGAAATTAATAGCCCTTAACCATGTGATTTCTATGCTTTATGAAACCCTTCTTCTACCTCTATTGGCATGCAGTCATGTCTTGATAGTGAAAGTGCGTTGTTGGTTCCAATAGTAAGGGTCCAAGAGATGGGACAAGGAGATTCAATCGCTTCTGACTAAGAGCGGAAATAGTTCAAATCTCAACTAAATTATCCTGAAAATATGCCTCCAACCTATGTTGGGATATGAAATCTAACTTCGTCGTAAGATTTTACATGGGAGGCTGCATGATGATTTATCAAATATTTTGACAGATTCCTTCATTCACTAACAACAATTATAGTTTAAAGTAGAGGATTCACTTCCTCTTTTTAAGGTTGATGACCAACTTCTAATTAGGCAACAAATTGAGGACTAAATTTATAATTTTTCTACGAAATAGGAAAAATTGCATAGTTACTCATCAATTTATTGCCTAAGGAACTATATATCCAAGCTTCAAAAATGAAAAATTTTAATACGCAGAGCCTCTAACACTAAACCCTGTTTGACAATCATTAAAATGATTTTTTTTTTTTTTGGGGGAAAATGAATTTTGGATTAGTGATTTTTTTTGGAAAATGTGATTATAAGTTACGAAGAAATTTTAGGTTTTCACGTAGAATATCTTATTATGAGAAAAAAAAAAGATTTTAATTTTAATAATTGTCAAACACGCTAAGATTTTTATTCTTTATGAGGGCCATCCTTTTGTTCTAATAATTAACGGGAAAGCAAGATATCAAAGTGTCTTTTTGGTAGACTCTAGTCAGCGTTGGCAGCGCAAAGCTTCTGAAATCATTGGGTGCATTTACAATATTTATTGATATAGAGTACCATTTATCTTTTTTTTTTTCTCTCTCTCTCTCCCCTTGTTCTTTATCGTGGAAAAAGTTTCCATCTAGATGTATTTGTCGAAGATATGAAAATAATAGACATTATTCTTTGTGATAATCACACAATTGTCTTTTTATTACAGTTTTTTGTAACCCTACAAATAAGGTTTTCTACTTTGAAACAAGAAGACAAACAATTCATAATTTTCAACATGGTTTGATAATTCAATTTTTGAGGCTAAACTTGCAAACTTCTATTTTTTGGTGAGCGACCTAGTGTCACTCGCCCCAGTCAAGTTTTCTAATTTGGTTTCTTTAAATATCTTCCTCTGTATTTTTTTTCACTATCTTCTGAATGGTTGGCCAAAAACTTTGATCTAATTATCAGAGGGACAAAATATCATCTAAATAAAGAATATTCTTGAACAGAAATGCTCAAATTCTGCAAATTGGGATTATCCAATCCAACATGTAGCCAGAAAAAAAAAATAGCATTACATGAAATATTCATTGGAATATCAGTATACCTGGGATAGAATTATAATTATGAATTTTTAGTCATGCCGATGTTAAAATGTGGGACCGACGGGGTATGGACATAAAGACAGAAATAATGTTATTTGTAATCACTCACTGTTGTAGTCATCTTTCATGGCGTACATATGACGGTTAGTGATTTGATATATGAGGTAAGATAAAACTATCACATTAATGCATCAAATCATAAATCACTATGTAAGATGCCTTTGGATGACCATCCAGTAAACGACTATGAATAACATTATACTCTAAAGAGAGTGTCGGCTTGCTCAAATAATGAAGAGAATACATTAAAAAAAATAGAAAATTGGCTTCATAATTGATTTGTGTAGAAATTAATAGCCTTTAGATGTTTATGCTTTATGAAACCCTTCTTCTACATCTATTGGTTTGCAGTCATTTTCTGATAAGGAAAAAAGCATTATTGGTTCGCATAGTTGGTTAATTCTCATTTTAGGCACAATTAGCCTCCAATTATGAAAATAATTCAAATGTAACTAAATTATCAGTAAATGTGCCTCACTTCATGAAGTATAACTCGATAAGATTGGACATGTGATAGATGATTTAACAAATATTTTAACAGGTTCATTCATTCACGAACAACAATTATAATGTACAATTGAGGATTTAATTTCATTCATTCACAAACAACAATTATAATGTACAATTGAGGTTTTACTTTCTCATTTAAAGGTTGATTGGAGAAATTGCATAATAATCTTTAATTTATTGCCCGAGGAACTATTTCTCCAAGCTTCAAAAATGAAGAATTTCAATATGATGACAGCATTGATAGCCTCTAACACTAAGATTTAGTGCTTTACTGGGGACATCTTTTTGTTCTATCCACTGTACCTAGTCCACGCTATCAAGCATAAGACAATATGGAGACACTATTTCTGGTGTTCTCTGATTAGGTTCTTTAGTAAGTTCATCATATTTTATGACAACAACGTATATAGTGTGATAGGCACAATGGGATTGAATAAATTTAATTCTCCTAATTGTAATTGGCTATTCCTTAGACAAAATCTAGGTTATTTGAGATACAAATAAAGTCAAAGAGATACGGTTGGTTGTATAGGTCAAATAGGAGTCCTAGGCTCAAGTATGTAACAAAGAATTAAAGTTTTCAAAATGATGTTAGCTCAATGCCAAGTCATACTCAAACGCTCAAAACAGTGATGATGATGCTAGCCTAACGCCAACCTTTCGCTGGTGCGAAATCCCCAACATCAGGCGAGCATAAGCAAAATCCTAATTTTTTCAAGAAACTCTAGGTCGCAATTTTAGACACTTTTAACAATCCTATATACAACCACAAAAACTGCCCAATATAAATATGCATACCCTACTTTGTCCAAGATGTGTTGAATCATTATTTTTTCTTCGAGATCTCATTGTTGAAGATCATAAACACATTCCATTAATTCTATTGATTTAATCTCAAAATCATTGTTCATATAGTTTATCCCAAACATTGTTCAAACATAAGTCGAGCATTGAATTAAGTCAAGAGAACGTACTTTGAAGATCATAGGCATATTCCAATATCTCTTGCCTCAGCCACAGATCAAAACACAAAAAGACTGCTGTT